AGCATCTTGGGATTAATCAATGAGGCCCAAAAGTTTTAACAGATGTATGTTTTACCAGGTGCCTAAATGAAATCAATGTTCATGCCAATGAGGTCTCTATGGCCAAGGGATGGAGTGTGTGATGAGAGAAAGAGTAACAGATAACGAAAATACTAGATGCAAAGGGATCTTGTAGCTGAAAGAAAGAAACTTGTATGAGATTTTGTAGACCAGATGCATGTGTCTGAGGAAGTAGGCTCAAGTCTATGAAAAGCTCCTGCTCCTAGCTTCTTTCTTTCAATTAGTCTCAAAGGTGCTACAAGATCCATTCACATACTGGCTTTTCAGACTAACACAATTATGTCTTTGAAAAATACTAGGTGGTTGAATGCTATAAGAAGAAAAAGCCACAAGTCAATTGGATTGTTTGAATCAATGGCTGTTTCCCATGTAAAATTTTATGCTACTAATAGTCACAAGGTTTGCAAAATGCGTAGGGAGACTTCACCCACAGTTCAGAGAACTATGCAAACCAACCACATTCCTCACAGTGTCTTTGATATACAAGATATATTTTAATGGAGTTTCTTGCATTCAGGATTTTGCAAGCCCTATTTAAAGTGCATCAAAATTAGTCAACCAGTGCATAGGTCACCAGGCCTCCTTTTGATGCCACTTATGAAAGAACCCTTGCCCCACTGGTTTAAAAACAAAACCAAAAAACTAGATGACTTAAGCTGGAGGAAATGTTGCTCCAATAAGCACCTTACCATAAATAAACCTGAAAGTAATAAAAAAAAATCAGCAAAATGGATGGTATAGTGAGCAAGACTGAACCTTGCATGACAACATCCCTTTTAGAAAGAGCAGAATTAAAAATAAAATTACATGAAATAAATGTATGCCTCATCTATAAACAAACCAACAAAAATAAGCAGCTTACCATACTTGTCCAGGAAGAGAAACACAAAGGTGTCAGCAATTGTTATGAGAACTCCACCCCACAGAGGTACTCTGCAAGAAGGCAAAACAGGTGTGTAGGTTTCAGGGTGCTCTAAGTACCTCTCTTTAAACCAAATTTGGCCCAGCATCCCTTACATTTAGGTGACTTCTAAAAATGCAGGTTTACCTCAAGCTAGTGTTTGAAAAGACAGATCAACAACTTCCTTATTTAAAGGCAAGATTCTGGGAAGCCTAATTGTACAGAAACAACTGAGAGAGACAAAAGCAACCTTAAGAAGGAAACCTCAGCTGGGCAATTTGTTGAAAGCTAATGGAGCGCAACATTATGCACATTGCCAATAGCAAAGGTAGAAGAAAATGGTAACTTCATAGCAGTCAGCCTGATACAGCTGGATATTTCTACCTGAAGTCTGAATCCTCCAACCATTTTTAGAAGACCCTGACCTTTCAAGGAAATAAAGGATTAAAAAGAAAGCCAGGCTGAAACTACTGTGATCTATGCTACCTCACACCAAGGTGCGTGACTCCTCTGGGAAGTAACCATTGCTTTTACAAACAATAAAATCTCACTTAATAATCTTTAACACTGAAATGGAAAGTGACTGATAAGAATTATTCAGAAAGAACCTGAAACAAATCTGGCAATTATCACCAGGACAAGAAGCTTCCTAATACCAAGAGTGACCATGGATCCATTTAGCTCAGTATTTTCTACAGCAGGTATGGAGAACATGCAGCCTTTAATGTCAATGGACTCCAACATCCATAATCCCTCACCACTGGAACTGTCAGCCTGGGTTAATGAAAACTGTAGTGCTACAAGTTAGTATGATTCCATCATCCCTCATTTACACAGGAATGGCAGTGGGTCTCCAAGGTTTCAGGCAGGAGATTTTTCTAGCCCTGCATGGAGATCCGGGGGTGGGGGTGGGGGTGGGGGTGGGGGTGGGTGGGGCTGAACCAGGGACCTTCCATATTGCCCTAACTACTGAGCCACCCCTGATTCCAATGCATCAATAAGTGTACACTTGAAGACACTGTATGTTTCTGGATACCACATTTAAAAAGGTCAAATGTCACAGGACAAGGAAAGATACAGAGAGATAAAAGGCAATCAATATAATCAAGGTGTTGAGAGAGTACTATAGCAAAAAGGACAAGGGGTTTGGGGCCAACTTACATGCCAGCACTCAAAAGGTTAATGGCAATTGCTGAGCCAATGACTTCTTGCATGTCTGACCCAATGATAGCCAGCTCCACCATCAGCCATAAGATAATCCGAGGGACCTAGGCAGGAAAAAAAAATTAAAAAAATGGGAGATTGGACAATTTGGTTTAATATGTTCAAAGATGGGAATCTACCTTTGCAACTTGTACTTCCCTAGCTAGAGCACGTGGGCTCTTCCTTCGTAGGAAACTCTCTAGATGGGGAGATAGGTGTGGGGGCAGAGAAAAGAAAGGATGGCACCCTTGGCACCTGCTCTAACCACCACTGGCTTTGGCCCTACCCATAACCACTACTGTGGCCCTCAACGTATTACTTGCCATTCCCAACCACTGCTTGAGATGTATAAACGTATAAACATCTGCCATTCCCAACCACTGCTTTAGAAGCTAATAGTTGAGAGAGGAGAATACGGAACAAAGGGAAGACAGTCCTTCATCCACCTATACTGAGCTGAGGATCTTGACTGGCAGCTAGTAAAAGGGTTCACACAATTCCAGTGGATGTTCCCCGCTCCCTCTGACTAAGCAAGAACTACATAAACATAACTTTATTTTTTCCCCTACTCTTGTTACCACAGGTGCAATAAAAAGTATTACTGGAGTCTAAAATTAAAATTAAAAATGAAATACTCCTGGTGAAGGGAGGATCCAGCATCTGCTAATCAGCAATCACCTATGTCCATGATGGCGAACCTATGGCACATGTGCCAGAGATGGCACACAAAGCCATTTTCCCTGGCATGGGGAGGGCGGGGAGGAGGAGGAAGAGGTACGCGCCTGTTCCTCCTCCTTCCCGTCCCTTCCCAGCCTGGAGAGGCAGCTGAAGGCAGAGAACAGCATAGGAGAAAGAGGAGGAACAGGCGTGCACCTCTTCCTCTTCTTGCCCCTTTGCCCCCCCCCCATGCCTTCAGCTGTCTCTGGAGAGGCAGTTGAAGGCCCGGGAGGGCAGGGGAAAGAAGTCCCACCCTGGAAGTCCCACCCCTGAAGGGCAGAAGTCCCACTCCCAGAGGGTGGAAGTCCCACCCCTGGCACCAGGATAACACCCAGTACCAGAAGGCCTTTAAGTTTGGGCATTTGGCCCCTAAAAGGTTTGCCATCACTGACCTATGTGGATTATACTGTCTGAAATTCAGTAAAGTCACAAACAGGCACACAGCAAGGAGATCAGCCTCTAACTAACAGAACATGATGAAACAAGAACAAGGTCACTGTGAGAAGCCATGTGCTTTTAGGTCAAACATTCTGGCAGAGTCTTCCTCTTACTGGGAAGCCAAGAACAAAGGATACACTTGCTTTGACATTTTAACTTTTTAAAATGAGCTCAGTCCCCTTCCTTGAACTATCTTCTGGTGCCATTACAAAGAAAAAAA